ATCTTTTTCGTAAGGAATTCGATGGAGTCATCATCAAGGTTCTTGAGCATCTTATTGGTTATGCCATCGGGGCCAGGAGCGGATTGGGCATTTAGAGAAAAGAGAGCCTGCCGTATCTCGGCCACAGTATAGTCCTGGTCCAACTCCGGCACGTCGCAACCCGCGTAGTCCGGAAACTGTGTGGGTGCAGAGCTATCCGCGACTCGCAGATACCTGTTTATAAGCTTGTTGACAACCAATTCATCCGGGGTAGAGTCAGTAACAAGATGGATGGCTTGCGCGAGGGATCGCCTCTGGCTGGACATGGTGCTGCCCTGATCGAGAAGGTGTTTGAGAAGACCCCAGCTCTTCCCAGATCTGAGCTGACCCTCGATGCTCTCGCAGAGCTCATGCCATTGTTGTTTACACAAGGTTTTGCAGTGCTCCTCGGAAACCTTCTTGCGGAGCCTCCTGTTTTGCTTCTGTCCCTTCCACCTCGTCAGTAGGGCTTGCTTGGCTTCTAGTAGGTGTGCCAACCTGCTGTCTATGTTTTCAACATCGAGGTCAGTGACGACCTCCTTGGTCGCTGCCATGGCGTCATCTCTGATTCTTTTGTACCATCCTTCAAAGTCTGTCCCAGCCTTCGGTGCTCTCTCAGCTCTGACTTCGCGAAAAACGTCCCAGTTGACCACCTTGAATTTTTTCGTCCTAAAGCGGGCAATCGCGAAGGATACCTCGATAACGTAGTGGTCACTTCCGAGGTCTAGAGCCGTGTTGACCCACCTGACCCTACCTATATTCTTCACAAAAGTCAGGGGGTGGTATCCTGACATGTGGAGTTACCTCTCCTAGTGGGAAAATCCTTGTTAGTGATAAGCGTCAAGTCGGCTTCTGTCGCAGTCTGCCATAGCTCGCGTCCCTTGGGGGTATCATACATGTATCTCCACACGCTGTGTGGGGCAATGAAATCCCCTACGATGACAAGAGGGTAACTACTGGCCTTGCTCACAGCCCTTTTGAGGAGTTTGCTCTCGCCCTACTACTGGCCATGCTCACAGCCCTTTTGAGGACAGTTTGCTCTCGCCCTGCTATAACTGGGACTGCAGTATACGTTGAGAATAAAAAGGCTATTTCTTCGGACACCTTTCTTGGGCGAGTTCATTATAATTTCAGCCATTACGTACTCAATGCCATCGGCAACTGCACTGAGGTCACGCGATAGGTAATTGTACCTTTTGCTGATAAGTGTGGCAACTCCCCTACCTCCTGAATGTGATGACGCTACTAGGTAACCCTGGAGTTTGATGAGGGTGCCAGATGCAACTTCCTGAACAGCGATGATTTGGGGATTAACATAGAGAGTTCTTAAATATTGCTGTAGAATGGGCTTTTCGTGAGTAAATCCGTCACAGTTCCATTGCCAGATTCTCAAGTTTTCGTCCACACTCTCCATGTTTAGGCTGAGGGGATGGTTGAGCAACTATAGCGACCCGGAGGATCGCACCCTAAGTCGGTGGCCCTAGTACATTGCATTGTGCAAAGGAGTCGGACCGGGGTCTCTCCTCGCATCGACCTCTTTTAACTTGCCTATGCGTTCACTCAGTGCTCCTAATCACATCTTGGGGTGCGCCACGGCTTCTTGAATTTTCGCTAAGGTAGCCTGCATGTTGACGAAGGAAACCTTGAGTTCCAACAGTAAGTTTACCGCATATTCTTCTTGTGTGTTCTCAACCGCTCGGCGCTTGGTTCCGCTAGGCCTGTGAAGTGCCTCAGGCGTATCCATGGCGACCGGGGTTGGGGCGGGCTGCGCCGAAGGGGGCGAGGACACGAGCTTTCTAATCTCCGCCATCTCCGCACCTAGCCTGCTCATTTCTTGCTTAAGCTGCGCGTTTTCTTTTCTCAGCTGCTCGTTAGGTCGTCGCATCTCGTCAAGCTCACTCGCGTGGGGAGAACCGCGATTGATTCGTCGCCTCTCACGTCTTCCTCGGGCCTTGTCGGCCCAGGAGAGCGTCGGCTTCTTGCTGTTAGAGATGGTGGGTGTGCGGGAGCGGGACTTGGTCGGCCCCGACGAAACGTGCCCCGGCCTTGAAGTGGAGCGAGGCTGAGAAGTGGAACTCCGCCGGGCACGTTCTGTCGACCTGGAGGGCGAGCCGGAACATTCCTTGGGGGCACCACGGCGCCTGGATCTGGAGCGGCCTCCCGAGCGTCCCCTGGAACGGGGGCGTCCTATGTGCTGAGCATCCGTGACGGGTGACAAAGACTGGAACTCGTCCGCAGTGTCGAGGTGACGTTGCGGGGACGGTGACGCAGCACCAGCCATTCTGGCACGCTCACTGCGACGACGGTGCACAATGAACGGGATCTTGAACCTTTGAGCACAGTCTTTGCTAGCCGTGAGATGCTGGCCACCACAGAGTTTGCACTTGGGAGTACACACATGTTGCTTGTCGGGGCTTGCGGCACCACAGTCTCGGCAAATCGTGTCACCGGGAGTGGGGCAGATGTAAGCGCGATGACCAAGATGGCCGCACGCATAACACACGTCAATTTGCTTGCGGCAGTGAGCACTGCATCAGCACTGGTTCATACCTGACAAAGTTCGGTACACGATACCCGTCGGAAGCGATGATGACCGTGCCAGTTTGGGCTATTCTCTTGGCTGCTAAGGCGAGTGGATTATTTGTGTTGACAATCTTTGCATCGATGACGTCAGGGCCCTCTTGAAGTGGGACGTTGCGAATCACCTCTTTGCAAGTGGAGTGTGGGGCAGTCTCATAGGCACTTAGCTTGTGCACCTTGCGCGAAATGAGTATTTGCTTCATCCGAACGTATCGGTCTGCGTTTTTACGATTGGGAGTACTGGCAACCATAATAGTTCGCTGCAGATTCGGGCATAGAGTATCCTGGCACAAATCTTCCTGGCTTATGCCAGCGGCAACTAGTATTGCGTCTGCCACCGTAGCTGGGCCAATTTTTTAGATCACCTCTCGGCCGGATCATAATCCTGATGTCATCTTGAGGAAGGGAGGGCATCTTTCCCGCCCACATTACTTTGGACTTCAGCGCAGCGCCACTCGATTTGCCGTGGCGTGCGCCCGGCTGCGACGATGGTGCATCAGAGTCAGCAGTGCGTGTTTTGGCGCCAGCTCTTCTGGCCTCAGCGGACTGCCAACCTTTATCTTGAGTAAACTCTTCTTCTGAAATATCCTCTCCGTGCACTTCATACTCCATCATGAGCAAATAATTCTGCGCACCGGGCCTCCGAAGGCAAGAACAAGCCCAGCAAAAGCGCGGTCTCTCAAGCCACTCATTAGGGTTAAAGAGGGCACCGCTCCACAGGAAAAGAAATTGTTCCTAACTTGACAAAAACTCACTCGCTGTGGTCAAATATGGTACCGATAGGATCCTGATGACTTCTCGGAACCGATGCGAGCAACAGTTCATGAACACTTGAAAAAAAAAAAAAAAACTCTAGAAACACAGATTTAGTTGCGCGTCCACAGGAGCCGTACGAACGCAGCCTCCCATTCCGCGTCTCCCCACATGCCCATTGTTCGTTTTTTTTTTTTTTTTAAACATATATCTACAAATAGTATACTGGAAAAGGAAATGAATTCTAAATTCGAGGTAAGAGAGAAATGAAGGTTTAAAGGAGTACATTAGAAGGTACATATGCTTTATAAACTACTCTCCTGCAGCAATACATCACCGAACAGTCACCCAGCAATGCAAAATTAACGAACAAAGTCGGCAGTCATGATGCACTTGTCTTTAGTGACCATCTCTTTTCTGTTCTGTCCTTGCTCGTTCTGTGCAGCTATTTCATGAAATCTCTGGCAGTACACAAGATTTTGATGGGTGTCGCTGCGGATACTACTTCCAAGGCGTTCCGTAATACAAGATAACTTTCTATGCAGTTAACTGTTCTGTATATTATGGTGACAGTTCAACGCCTTATGTAATCAAAAAGATTACCAGTAGAGGCATGACTCCAAGCTCATTTTTCTTCATATTGTGAATTTGTGACAAGATCACTTCAGGCCACAGTGGCATTTGTAGCGAGCAAAAGATATTTACGTAGTATTTCTCTCTATGCATCATGTCTGTGAACAATTGCTACATTGGCTGTTCAAGTGACACCATATTTGGCAATAACTTTTATTACCTGCATTGCGGAAGCTATAGAACCAAAGCGCATACCTGCTACAGCACCAAAACATAGTAGTTAAGTTTGCTGATAATTTTATAATCATTGGCCTTGCTGAATAAATGCTGCTTTATTTATTATGAGACATGAACAGTTGTGGGAAGTCGTAGATAAAATACAGTTGTTATTCATACAGCACCACTTTTTCAGCATGCCCATTTTCCAAGAATACACTCATTAAAAAAAGTGCACTAAAATGTACACTGAATTATCTCAACATTTTTTAATTCAAAATTTTCATGTATATAATTTTTAATATCTTAACGATGCGAGGGAGCAAAACCAAAATATGTCTCAAGCTGCCGTTCTACTTGCGGAGCAACACGAACATGCAGGAGCCTCACCTCCGTAGTCTTCGCGCCAATGTCAAGATAAGTTGTGGAGAAGTGTGCAAAATATGCACTACACCTTTTTAATATGGTTTACTTTCAATAAACTCACTAGATGGTGCAAGACAAGAAGATATGTAGCAGCTACGCCTATACAAGTACTTGAAGGGCCCCTAAACCAGTTTGAAATTTAGATGCATCGTAGCAGTTGTGCAGGCCGCTATAACGAACACATAGCCGTGAGAATTTCACAAAATAGTGCCATAACAGCAGAGTCACTACACGCGTGTGATGATGAAAGGCAGCCCTTGGTCGTTTCACTCTTTCCTTCGCTGTCCTCCGATTGTGGGCTCACATCTACTCCTGGATAATTGTTCATTCTCTCTGCACAATGAGGAAAAGCACGAACTGCAAGTACCCAAAGGCAATAATAGATACAGGTTCTTGTGATGTCATCATCAGCCAGTGCTGGCAATACCAAAAGATTCGGCGAGAAAAGGTTTATTTTATTTTTCATTTTTGTGGCCCACCAGCAGCACTGTTGCATACGGCACTGTTGATAGTGAGAGCATTCTGAACACATACATTTTTTACATTTTTACTCAAAATGTTAAATATACAGTGAAGGTGGTTTTTAGGCACTTAAAGAAAAACATATACTAGATGAACAATACAGTATAATAAAATACTTATACTTAAATAACACTGTTACTAATTACCATACAAAATAAGTTGATATTTATACAACCAGTAACAAAGAGGACACACATAATTATCACTTTTCATGTTTTTATTTTCTTTTGCATCAAATGATAAGCCAAGTTCCCGAGAGCATAGGAAATGTATCGGTAAGCGTGAGTGCCCTCTGAAAAATTTATTACAGCATGCTTTTAAAAGCTAGTTTCAGTTTCTACTGTACCCTGATGTCAGGACATGGTATGAGCAGCACCACGAGGTGGTAGTATGTGCACGTACACTATTCCAGACTCCGCTTACTCGCTCCACAAGTACACTAGATGACAGTGACCGCACAAGACAATCAAGAAGGCGATGCACAAGCTACCATTTTTTCTGTTTTGGTGCATGACGTTATTACAACTAACCAGACTGATGCATGAAATCACTAGGATTAGTACTGTAGCCTGACATGAAGTTAGTGTCAATGTCATTAGGTGCACCGTGAAAAAATTCACTTTAATATCAAAATAAAGTATCTTAACAGCATTTGCTGAGTGTGGCACTTGTTCAGAGTTGTCGCTATATACAGAAGATTTGTATGGCAGAGTAAACTCTCCTTCAAAAAAAGGGGTCCGCACCCCTTTAACCATGAACAAAAATTTGTACATTACAACAATAAAAAAAGAACAGACATAAGATTCAATGTTTTATATTCCTTTTTGACAACTTGTCAACAGCAGTAACTAGTAATTCTATCTAAAAAAAGCTACTATGACACATAAAATATACAATGTGCAAGCATTTGCTTTTTATGTGAGAAGGGTATCATGATGTTATATAAAGCATAAATATAAATGACAGCCTGTGCATAGTTTTTCCCATAAAGCTCTTGCACATAACTAATTTAATATGACTCTTGCTAAAACAAATGTGACACCTTTGACAATTTATTCAAAGCAAATTAAAAAAGAAAACAGGCATAATTTATTAAAACAATTAAAAAGTGTTAGCACCATAGAAACAGAGCTATTGCAGACAAAACAACCAGTTTTATACGACTAGCACTGGTAATTTGTTTACTGGAATTTACGCTACTTGTTTTAAACTTTATTTCCAATTGAAGAGCCAAATATTGATTTAGCTTATATATGAGGTAGCACTACATGAAAGTCGGTTGTGAAACTTGACTGCTTCCTTCACGAATTTAAGCATATGATTCAGTCATTCTGAATGAGGCACACATCTAAATGGCGATTGATATGTTGTTCCTCCAAGAAATTGCCACAGACAGGGCATTCAACTATTCTTGGCTCACTAGGCGTGCTTGCATTTGCAGTGGGACCCGAGTTCAGTGTTTCGTGCAGAGACGACGATATGGGCATGCTCTGTTCATTCGTATTTGCAGAGCATGTTTCTCGCCCTCTCAAATTAAATTCCTCTTTAGTTATCACACATTCATTGTCAGAATCACTGTCTGAACTGAGTAGCTCTCTTATGAATTTCATCTTGGCAGCGCTTCTTCTTTTACTCATCTGTTTTTTTGGGGATGTTCTTTTACCTAGAAGATCGGTCAGTGTTGGCTGACTTGAACGTGACAACTTTGGTGCTGTCGGCTGGACCTGTGTTTCATCCTTGTTCCCTGAATGGACAGCACTAGACTCTGTAGCACCGTCAGCTCTTGGTCTATCTACCTGAAAATTCTGCCTTTTTCTCATGGGTGTTCCCAAGACACAGCTGGAAACTGGTAATAAACTTCTATCCTTTGAGGAGATATTGCCTTTCTCTGCAGACCAAGATGTGGAAGAAGTTGCACCCAGTACATGGCCTATGCCACTGAAGGCAACCACCTGATCTGTTGTTGACTTGACCACTGGTTGAGACAAGGTGTGTACATCGGTAGGCAGCCTTTTCGTGATGCCTGGAAAGCTAGAGACACTAGGGTCTCGCTGCTTAGGACGTGCACCTTGGCGAACATATGCAGCATGTGTAGATGTCGCAGCTTCCCCAAGAAAGCTGGTAACACTTGGCTCTGCCGGCTTAGGACATGCGCCTTGGTGAACATATGCAGCAGGTGCAGATGTACCAGCTGGTACAAGTAAAGTCCTGATGTCTTGGCCATCCGGCACTTTGAATTTCTTAGCTGCTGCTGCACGAAGAACACAAAGAAAAATTCAAGTTTCTCGCATATCATCATATGTCACCAGTGCAAATTAAAAAGAAAAAAAAAGTGAAGACTTGAGACACAAATTCTGGTCTGCAAAGGTAGCTTCATGGCAGTGCTTGACAGCTAAACAGAAAAGTGGCAATATTTGTGGATTATTTTTAGGTTGAGGGTAAGAGGTATACACAAGCAAATACAATATTTTGTTTAGCACTACCCCTACCATGCCCTAGGAACTAGACCACTTTGACAGCTTCTGAACATGCTGCTAAATATTTTTTTTGAAAATCTATAAGCATGTTATGCATCATATGAAATGCAGATTGAACTTTACCACTTAATCACATACGGGCAGATTGTGCCATAAGGTACACTCAGAAAGCAAAGATTTAGAAATCTAGTATGAACCAAAATTACTGTCATGTGCTCCTATTAGTTTGCTAATAAAGCAATTAAAAATTCACACTTTGGTTTATTCAAGTACCATGGTTTAAGATACGTAACAGCAACAACAGAGATATATAGCTTCATACTGTTTCCTTCAACAAATATGCTACTAAAACAATGCCTCGCGCATATATGAGAAATGTGTATTGTCAAGGCTAACATTGAGCACTTTTTTCTTTTTCTCTAAGGTGGGATTTTTTCAAGAAATTCATCACCATAATGACATCAAATGTGGAACTTCTTAGAGTGTGTCCACCTCTTTTTCTCATTTTTCTGATTTCCCTTACTTTTCCAGGTCTTCCATGATGATTGAAAGCAAATTCCATGACCTTGGAAACATATGTGTACTGGAAACAAACTTTCGTGTGTCAAAAAAACACATCAGCTTCTCATATAAAATAAGTAAACATATTCACCGCACGTGCTCAGACTGTTCCGAGCGCATACGGTTAATATGAAAAAATATGTATATCTAGCCAAAGCAAAACTTCTGAGCCATGAGCAAGTAGGCTGTTTGATCTTCGGAAGAACCAGGAAGCATACACATAATTTAAAATGAACCACAGGTGCAAGTTCGAAGCAGCCCGTAATAGTCAGACAACACAGCCAAAGCTGCTAGAAAACGTAGATGCGACCCCATCTCAGAGCATCTACGTAAAAGAAGGACATGAATAGTTGACCGATTCTGCCACTGGGGTATATTCTAGATCAGTATAAGGGCTACAGCCCAGGCCACTTATGATTGGATTGTATCTGATCCGACCTGGATTGCTGTATTTACTATTGATTTGCATCCCCGCCGAATTTGTACACCTCTAAAATATACTGTTCAGTAAAAAGGAATAAGGACTGCCCGTGTATTTGTGCACCTTGCCTTGACAACTACAACGTCACAAGAATGAAGCCATACTGCAAAATTTAATTAATTTATTTATTTATTCAACACGACAGGCACATGCATGCGACGAAAGTCCTCAGACGCCTGTACTGAAAGCAGGGGGTAGCATTTAAAGCACTGATGTTTTGAGTATGTGGTGCCAAGAAGGAATCCGTCAGTCCCCCACAGCTTCCTCGATTCTATAAACAAATCATGGATGCAGACGTGTTACCTTTGTTTACGTACTCTTCTATGAACATACCCTAAAAAATAATCACAGACTTAATGACACCATCTCAAGAAATTTAAGTGAGACATTTAGCTGAAGTTACCCAATGCCACCCTTGAAACGCGAGCTACCAGTGATAACTGTGTAGCTGAGGAGGTTTGCTGCTGCATTGCCAATAACAATAGTAATATTAAGAGGCATGAACAGAACTCGACACACTCACTCGCACTCATTTGAACGTGGCAAGTGTGCATGAGTATTCATGAGTGAGTGGTTGTGAGTATGAACCTGAGTGAGTACTCATGAGGGTGAGTACGCGTGAGTATGAACAACATTGTGTATGGAAGTGAGTGTGAACGTGAGTGAGAACTCATTAATGTGAGTATACGTGAGTAGCAATGCGAGTATTCGTGAGTGTGAGTAGAAGTGAGTGTGAACATGAGTAAGAACTTGTATGAGTGTGAGTAATTGTGAGTACAAACGTGAGCGAGTACTCATGGATGTGAGTCTGTCAATGTGAACGTGAGTTAAGTGTTAGTGGAACATGAGTGAGCATCAATGAGATTAGGTAGCATGAGTATGAGCGTGAGTACTCATGAGTGTGAGTGGACATGAGAGAGCAATCATGAGGGTGAGTAGGCATGAGTATGAACGTGAGTACTCGTGTGAGTGGATGTGAATGAGCATTCAGAGTATGAGTAGTCGTGAGTAAGCACACATGAGGGTGATCGAGTAGGCACGAGTATGAGCGTGAGTGAGTATACATGAGAGTGACTAATCGTGAGTGTGGTTGTGAGTGAATTTTTATGGGTGTGAGTAGTCGCGAGTGTGCGCTCATGAGCTTGAGCCGGTATGCCGCACAGAGAAACGTGGCGACACACACAGTGAGTGGTCGTGCTGGGGATTGTGAGAAGCCTTAATGGTACTGATGTTAGCTAGGAGCAGTTCAGTAGACAAGTGGTATAAGGCAAAAAAAAAAAAAAAAATTTTTTTTTTTTTTAAATATCATGTTAGCTCAATAACGCAGGTTTCAAGTAGGAAGAAAACTAGCAATCAGAAAATGAGATTGACTTTTCTTCACGAGATAACTGTCACTCGTGAAGCGCGTTGCTATCGGCTAGCATGTCGAAAAACATGCAGGATACACCAAACATCACGCGACTAGCATTCTGATGCTGTGCCGTGCGTGTACGCTGGGTGTCCTGGCACAATGGCGCACCATTGGGTCAGTGCCTGTCTTGGTGTGGCGGTGACTGCACCTCCTCTCTGTTTCTCGGAGTGCGCTGCATGTTTGGTAGTACTGCGTTCGAGAAAGAGTTTTAGAATGTTACGGACATATGGAACGCAAATACAGCACGAGACAATGGTGCCGCTTCTCTTTCACTCATTGTGCTTTCGCTATTCCTAACTGCAGTAAAAGCACCCAAACACCACCATGGCCTTTTAAAAAATTATATTCCAAAGTGTCATGCCTTATCATTGCCTGTCAGCCTATGCATTATTTACCATCCAACGGTCCATCGGTCTAGGTACCTTAACACTACACGAGCGCTCGTATAAACACTTTCTCTTCACATATCTCATTCTTTTGCGCTCAAACCCATTCCAGGATGCACTTTAAGCACAACAGGCTGAAGATGAGAAGCGCTAACATAATCCCGTGTCGTATTTTTAAACCGTGCGGTAGCGTAGCCAATGTGGCAAACCAGGCCCACGCCCCCCCTTCTCCCTTGAATTTTTTCGCTATGGTATACAGAGGTAAAAATGACAATTTTAAACGATGCCCCTCGTCCTCCCGGCCTAGGCACCTGGTAACATGTTTTAACTCTCCAATGTGTGCATCTTCAGTACCGGTCGTGCTAGACTGTAGGCGGTGGCTCCGTGTTCGAAGTGACGCTTGGAGACCAGCATATGGTCGCGGTCCAATGCAAACAAAACACAATTTCAGCTTGAGACAGCAAAAACAGCGCGTTCTCAATGGCTGAACGACAAGACTGTCTTCTTCGTTCTCGAGTATAGCCAGAGGCGCACACATGGTGTACTCTAAATACCTCATCACCGTTTTCATCCATATGTAGACACGCGTCATTCGCCTCCCTCTCAAAGAGCATCTCCCCAATGCAAAGTCAGTAATGCAGTTTTTTTTTTTTTTTTTTTTGAAGAGAAGTCTCATGCAATCACTTGCTGATATTAGGCTTCATGCATACTATGTGAAGGAGTTCAGGATGATGCTGGCAATGCCTCGTACTATACGAACTGTCGTGAACAACTTCGTAAGTGACATTACTAAGTTGTCGCAGAACTAGATATGGTCCAAATTATCTCCTTAAGAGCTTTTCGGAGAGTCCTTGTTTTCGTAAGGGCGTCCAAACCCATACTTTGTCGCCAGTTTGGTAGACGACTGTTCTGCGCTGAGCATTGTAGCGGCCTGCGTCGTACTCCTGCTGCTGGCGGATCCATAAACATGCAAGTTGCCTAGCTTTTACCGCACGTTCCGTAAACGTGTCGACGTCCGGGTCGACGTCGTCACATTCGTGCGGTAACATCGCATCTAACATAGTTCGTACTTTCCGTCTATGAACGAGGCTGAACAGGTCACGCGGGTGTTTCTTGCATTTCAATTTTCGTGTTCAACGCCTACATACATCGAAAGCATGTTTTAAACGGTTTTGTTTAGACGCTCTTTAAGCTCGTTCGTTTGCAAGTCATACGCAGTGGTCTTACGATGCGTTGTTCTACTCAGCATCAGGACATGATTCAAAAGAGCTGTCGTAAATGCAGTTCCTCTGTTTGTGATCACAACGGTTGGTGCACCATGCCTCCATACGATATTATAAATTAAAAATCTTGCCACCTCCACTGCTGTACCTCTATGAATAGCCTTTGTCTCGGCAAAATAGTTCAGATAATCTGTCGCGACGATAACCCAGCGGTTCCCTGTAGTAGAAGTAGGAAGTGGGCCCGAAATTTCCATGCCGATCTGGTCGAATAGAGTTGTTGGGACCTGTACAGGTTGCAGGAAGCCAGCTGGTTTAGTCGGTGACGACTTGCATAGCTGGCAGTGGAGACAGGTACGGACGTGGTGCTTCACCATTGTGGTTAGTCTTGGCCAGTAGTGCTTTTGCTGTACTCTTGCCTATGTTCTCGTGTAACTCAAGTGGCCAGAAGTCACCCTGTTGTGGCATGCTTTGTGTACTTCGCTGGAAGGGCTGCTTGGACGATGAGCAGATAGGTGGATCCTGTCAACGAAAAGTTTCATTTGTAGAGTACTCCGCCCTGTAAACAAAACAATGACAACACTTTTGCAAAAACTCTTGCTGCCTTAAGAGATCTACCACTCAAGTAATCAATTGAGCCAAGCCACTCAGGGTCGTCATGTTGTTGCTGCGCAATGACGGTCGTGTCGAGGACACCAAGGAATGCTGTTTCCTA